AGAGACGCGCCGGCGGCCAGGGCCGCGCGGCCGGGAAGGCCCCGGCACCTCCGCACCGGCCGCAGCCGCGCAGGCCGGGGTCCACGCTGACGGAACACGAGTAATGTAGCAATGTCCAGAGGTTTGGTGCCTTCTGTGTTTCGGGCTTACTTATTTATTTTTAGGAAGTCTGCTTTTTCTCCCGGTTGCCTTCCCTGGCCACCGTCTCCCTGCGCCGCGCTCTGCCATCCGTTTTAATCCACACGCTAATTGTAATCCCATTAAAGCAGATATAATTTTATTAGTATTCACAGTTCATCAAGCTAGCAATAATAACCGGTACTGCCAAGCCGGGGAGGGCAGGCGGCGAGCAGCACACCTCTGCTGCTCCGAACCCAGCGCGCACGGACGCGCGGCGACCCCGCGCGCCCCCCGCAAACCGCCGGGCGCGCCCCGCAGGCCGCCCCTCGCCCGTCCGCCCTCGGCGCGAGGCCCAGCGCCGCCGCCGGCCCGGGGGCTCCGCGGCCGCTCCCGCTCGGGGCGCCCCGCGCGCTCCTCCTCGTGGAGCGAACTCGCCTGCACCGAAGTCCCGGGCGCGGCGCTCGCACCCCGCTCCGGCCGCGCCCCGCGGGCTTTCGCAGGATGCCGGAGGCGGGGGCGAGAGCAAACGCATCCCTTGCAAACCCATTCTCACCCTGACACTTCGGGGCTTTATATAGAAACGGGATTTGCTCCTCCGCGCGCGCGCCGCCGGCCCCCTCCCCCGACACAACAGCCGTTTTGTTCCCCGCAGAAAAGTGCCTCGTTGTCCCGGCCCCGACACCTTAAGGAGGCGAACGTAGAACGCAAAAGAAAAAAAAAAAAACACCAAAGACGGAAAAACCCTCCCGCAGGAGCCGGTGGGAGCCCGCGCGGTGCTTTCAGCCGGCTCCGGCCGCCCCGCCGAGGCCCCGCGGAAGGCCGCTCGGACCCGCCAGGATCCGGCCGCGGCGGGGAAGTGAAACCGAAGCCGCCCCGGACGCGCCCGCCCCGGCCGGGCACTGACCTGTGTGCGAAGCCATGGGCAGCGGCGACGGGAAGTACTTTCCCGGCTGGAAATGCGCCGGGGGCTGCGCGGCCGGCCCGGCCGGGGCGAGGCGCGCGGCGGCGGCGGCGCTGCGGTGGCCCAGGCTCCCGCGCTCCGACAGCAGATGCGGCGGCGGCGCGAAGTCGCGGCCATCCATGCCGGGCCCCGGCCCCGGCCGGCCGCCGCCTCCTCCCCGGGGCAGCGCGGCCGGGGCCTGGGGCGGCTCGGCGCGCGGGCGGCGCGGAGGCGTTGGTGTCCCGGGTGACCGGCGGCGGCGGGCCGGTCAGCACGCCGGCGGGCTGGGCTCCTCGGCGGGCGGCCGCGCGCAGGGCGGGCGGCCGCCGTGCGGGTCCATGGTCTGCGGAGGCAAAGCAGAGGAGGCTCGGTGACCGGAGGTTCCGCGCGCCCGGGGGTCCCCGCCCGTCTCCCCCATCCCCCGCCGCCGCCGCCGGCCGGACCTCCCCGCCGCCCCGCGCGCACCCGCACCGGCCCCGCGGAGTCTGCGGCCACTGGCTCCGCCGGGCGATAAAAACCCCAATCTGCGAAGCCATCACGCACACTCGCGCGCACTCACACCGCTCCCCTCCCCCGCCGCCCAAAGGTGTCTTGGAGGAAGAGGCCCGGGTCCTCGTTCGCGCCCCCTCCCCCGCCCGAGCCATTCCCAGGTCCGGCTTTTACTGCATTCTGCTTAACCGAATAACCATGCTAATTAAGCGAGTAATTTTATTGATTGTAACTCAAGAGTTTTTTTTTTAATAACCTTCTTCCCTTCCCTCCCCTCCCCCCATGCGTCCCTCGGCCCATTCTTTGGAGTCCACCGCCCCCGCCCCCACCCCCGCTCCGGGCGGGGACCCCGGGCGCCCCGCGCCCGCCCCCGGCCATCACCTGGGCCGCCACGCCGCAGTGCCCGGCTCGCAGTCCCCCAGCCGGCGCTCCCCGGCGAGCTGGGACAATCACCCCGCCCCCCAATCACATTCGCCCAGGCTCTTCCTCTGCGGATTGGGGGCTTTGTGGGGGGTGGGGGGGCTCCAAGACCCAGGAATTGTTTTCTTTCCACCTCGCAAATTGGCCGCGAGGGCCGTCTTCCGAGCGCCTGCCCGGGCTCCCCGGAAGGCCGGTCACCGCGTGGCCCGCACCCGGCTCGCCCCTCCAGCCGCGGAGGCCCGCCCCGGCCCTGCGCAACCTTCGCCCCCGCCCAGGCCCGGGCAGACCCCCGGGGCCTCCATCACGCCCTGCCCAGCTCCGGCAGGGCCGCCAGAAAGTGACCCTCGCCTCCCTCGTCCTCCACCCCCGCGCGGCGCGGAGCGTCCACTCGGGGACACTCGCAGACCCAGTGGGATGGAGCCGGCGCGATCGGCGCGAGGACTGCCCCCGCGGCTTCCGGCCCGCTTTCTACCCGGCTAAGCGCGCATTGTTCCGCGGCCGGCAGCGCGGGAGGGACGCGGGCAGGCTGGACGCCGCCGGCTGCGCCCCGCGCGGAAAACCCCGCGTGCGCCCCGCGCTGCCGTCGCAACAAAGCGGCCGAGGCGGTCTGCGCTTCGCAAACACCGACTCAAGTCGCCGAGCGGGTCCTCCCGCGTCCTATTTGCAGACTGCTTTGTCTGATTTAATCTATAACCGAAAACATTATGTACGGAGTGAACACATATTTGCTCAGCCGATAAGCTTTTTTTTTTTTTTAATATTTATCCGCAGAGCTCTCGCGTCGAGGATACGCGGGGCTGCGCGCGGAGGCCTCTTTGTCTCGCCGCCGCGCACAAAGGGGCTCGGGGCTCCCGTTCCTCCGGGGATCCCACAGTCCCCGGGTCCAACAAACAGCCCGGCTCGCGGCCGCCCGGGCCTGCGCGGCGCGCCAGGCCGCCAGAGCCCGCGGGGCGCCGGGCAGGGGCCGCCCGGGGCGGGGCGGGGGGCTTCGCGCGCAGCTCGGAGCCCCAGAGGGCGGCGACCCAGACAAAGGGGCAGGGAGCAGGGAGGGAGGCCGGGCAGCCCGGGCTCCAAAGGCCCCGAGGGCCGGAGCGGGGCTGGGGCTGCCGGCGGCCGCCGTTTCTGTTTCTGTTTGGCGCACGGGAGGCACCGCGGAGACCGCGGAGCAGCCGGGGATTCTCGGGACGCGGGCTCGGCCGCGGCGTCCGCCTCCCGCCCCCTGCGGGCCGACGCAGCCCGCCCGGCTCTACACGCAGCGCGGGCACCGCTGTGGCCCGGCCCGGTCGCTGCGACCCACCGGGGCCCGCCTTTGTGCGCTCCTCGCCCGCCGGCGCCGGCCACGCAGCCCCGGAGCTGCGGCGTCGCCACCCGCCGAGGGCCGGGACGCCGCGCCGGGCAGCGCCAGGGATGGAGCGAGAGCGCCGGGGGCACCCGCGGCCCCGCGGACGAACGCGCTTCGGAAGCCTCGGAGCCTCCAGCCGCGCGCTCCGCTCGGGCGCCGGGGCGTGACGCGCGCCCTTCCTCCCGCCGGCTGCCCGGAGCTGCCCCGATCCCGCTTCTGCCGCCCACCGGGGACCCCAACCCCGGCCCCTGCAGCTGCCCGCGGCCGCGGCTCCGCGGGGCCTGCGGGCCGAGCCCGAGCCGCGCGCGCCGGGGCGCCGCCGCTGAACCCGCTCCCTGCGAAACCGGCGCGTGCGGCCCCCGGGAGAGCAGCGAGCGCCGCGGCCCCCGGGGAGCGCGCCCCGAAGACGCCCGGAGGCGCCGGCCCCGCGCGGCCCCTCTCCCGTCCCGTCCTCCGGAAAAAAAAAAAAAAGAAAGAAAAAAAAAGGTTCGGAAATGAATTAGGGTCTGCCAAGCGAAACCCAGAACCCCGGCCGGGGAGACCCGCGGGCAGGGCCCGGGGCCGGGGGCGCACGGCCGGGGTGCGCGCTGACCTCCGCGCCTCCCCATCATTTATCTCACGCCCGAGTCGGTGCGGACGGCGCGCGCTCGGGCGCGTAGCGGGGGCCCTGCGCCGATCCATGCGAATTTTCAGAGCGAGCAAAACCACTCGCCTATAGTCCACAAAAAAAAAAAAAAAAAAAAAATTCTCGCCATAATAACGGAATTTTTTAAAGGGAAAATATTTCTCAGCATTGCAATTCTGAATCTCTTGTTTAAAATATTGTACATCCCCAAAGCCAAAATATAAAAAAAAATTAATAAAAATGGGGAAAAAAAAGAAAGCAATTTCAGCTACTTACTGGAGGCTTGTCCCGGGCACAAGTGAATGGAACACAATTGGCCCGGGGAGTCTGACTTTGTTTTGTGCGGCTGTCGGCGCGCCCGCCGCCGACTGCGGCGGTGCCCCGCGCCGAGCGCCTCGCACGCCCGCAGCCCCGCGCCGCGCGCCGCGGCCCTGCATACTAATAAGCTCGTGCCACTCGGGCCCGCGCAGCCCGCGCGCTGATTGGCCGGCCGGCCCTGCGCGGCGCGGCGCTCGTGCCGCGCGCTCGGCGTAAACAGCGCCCCCGATTGGCTGGCGCGGGGCCAGGGAGCTGCCAATCAGGGCGCCGCGGGGCTGCTCCCGAGCCCGATGGCGCCGAATTCAACCGGGCGACTGCGCAGCTGCTCTGCGCACGGCGCGGCGGCCGGGGGGCGCGGGCGCGCGGGCGCCTGCTCCTCCTCATCGCGACGACCTGGGATCCCGCGAGCGCGCGCCTGGCAGGTGGCAGCTTGCCCCGCAGCCGCGGTGGCCGCCCCGCTCGGACGCGGGCTGCGGGAGCGGGGCCGAGCCGGCCACCCGCCGGGCGGGGCCGCTCTGCGGGGCGTCGCGGGGAGCAGCCGGCTCCCGTCCCACGAGCGGCGAGGCCGCGGGGGCGTCACTGCGCTCCTCCTCCTGCCCGCGGTGCGGAGAGAAAAAATAAAAATAAAAAACGCGAACCAGAGGCGCAGGCGCAGCGCGCTCCGGCGCGGGCAGCAAAGGGTTAACCCGCCGCCGCCGGTCCCGCCCCGCCCCCCGCTCCCGGGGGACCGCTCGGATTGGCTGGCTCTCGGCCAGGGGGCTGTCCGTCGCCGAGTGTAAACAAGGCGCTGATTGGCTGTCGTCCAGTCCGCACTGGGCCGCCCGAAAAAAGCAATTACTGGCTCCGCGGTTTCAAGGCCGCCCCGGGCCGCTCGATGAAAGGAGATAAGCCGGGGACCGTTTCCAGGTTCCCCGCGGGCCGACCCCGGCAGCCCGGGAGCCGCGGCGCGGCCGAGAGCCCGCGGATCAAAGGCGTCGGCGGGGAGAGGGGGCGCGGGCGGCCGGCGCTGACCTGGGGCGGGGGCCCCGGCCGCCGGCGGGGACTCCGGGGTTTCCCGCCCGCCGGGAGGGGAGCGCGGGGTGCGCAGGTAAGCGCGGGGCTCGGCGGCCGGCGGCCCTGGGGCGCGGGGCAGGGCGCGCGCCCCGAGTCCCGCCGCGGCCGGGGCCCCCCCTGCGGCCGGGCCGGCGAGCGGGGCGCGCCAATCCCACCAGGCGCCCGGAGATCCGATTAGCGCGCGGCTATTCATTAAGCCCCGGGCGATTGAATTAGGCGCGGGCGCGGGCGGGGGCTCGGGCCGGGCGGGGGGCGCGGACCACCGGGCTGGCGCGGCGGCGCCGGGAGCGGCCGCCCCGGGGCGAGACGGAGGAGCCGGGTTCCCGCCCGCTTCCCGCGCACGCCGAGCCGGGTCCCGGGTCCGGAGAAATGGCGCCGCCAGGGCCTTGGGCGGGGGCGGCCGGCCCGCGGGGGTCGGCGCGCGGCGCCCCTGGCCGGTCCGGACGGCCCGGCTGGTGACGCTCCGGCCGGGGGCCTTTTGCTCCGCTTTGAATTTCGCTTTTAGGAACCTTTGTACGAGAGGGGGACTGCATGGAGAGCGCGCCCGGGACCCCCAGCGCCTCCGAGCCCCCGCCCGTGCGCTCCAGCGCGGCGCCCGGACCGGCCTGCAGGCCGCGGCGAGCGGGCGCCCGCGCATTCGTCGTCCCCGCCGCCCGGCGCTGCGCGTGTTTCTAATTTCAGAGGAACGCGGCGCGGGGAGCTGCGGACCCGCTCTCCGCGGGCGGAGGACCCGGGCGGGGCGGCGACTTCCGGCCGCGTTCCCAGCCGAGAGGGCTCCGTGGTGGGGCTGGGTCCGCGGACACTCCGGGAGCAGCCCGGGGGCGCGAGCCGGCGGGAGCCGAGCGCAGGCCGTGCCCAGGGCAGCAGACAAGCGGGCGCCGCCCGCGCCGGGCAGGCCCCCTGCACCTCGCCCCGCCTGTGCGCGGGGCTCACGCGGGAGTCACAGGTGCGTGGCCGCGCGCACACAAAGCCTCGGAGGAGACTCCAGACCGCCTTCCCGCTCGCAGCCCGGACGCCCCTGCACCCCCAAGCCTCTCCCAGCCCTGGAGCCCCCTCGGCCGCTCCTGGGCACAGCAGCGCGGCCCTGGCCACCGGGAAATCGTCAAGTAAATAATCGCATTTTAATAGGAGGCAGTGGGGGCCTTCCCCGAAATCCAGCCGCGCTGGGAGCCGGCCCCCGCCATTGTTCCCTGGGCCATTAGTCAAAGGGCAAATTAGAAACAATTTCTTGAAGACAAAACCTGCGTCTTACTTCTTCCCACCAGGGGTACAGAGGGGTAATGGGTGCTGAGGCTGGGGGCACGGGTGGCCAGTGGGCTGCGGCCTGCCTGGGAACTGAGCCGTCCGGGGCACCTGGGACCCAGGTCCACGGGAGGGAGGGGGTGCCCCAGCCCGAGGGAGGGGTTCTAGGTCCCAGGAGCCACCCGCTGCAGGAGCTTGGGGGTGGGGGGAGCAGGTCCGCCCCCACCCCAGCCTGGGGGCTAGGGCCATAGAAAGCCCTGGCCCTGGCCGAGCAGTGCCCAGCGTCGCTCCCCGGGCTGACCAGCTCATCCTGGACGGGACTGTAGACCGCCCCTGCCCCAGCCGGGCTGTGGCTGGATGGAAAAGCCCCCAGGACCCTCAGAGGTGGAGAGGCCCTTGTCCTCTGCTGGTCTGCTTTGGTCACACAGCGCCCTAGGGAGGCCCCGTGCCCCGGGGATCCCCCTCCCCCGGCACTCCCCAGGGGTGGGGGGCATGGGCGGGCCTGCAGGACAGGCCGTGCGGACCTGGCTGGTAGTAGGCTGAGCCGGGAGCCTTTGAAGTTGGACACACAGCTTCCCGGCCGCGCCCTCGTGGAGTGGAGTTTGTGTTGCTGGTTTCGTCCAACCAGGTCAGCCCAGCCCCCTCCCGCTCGCCTGCTTGTTAAACGCGGAGGCATAATTTGTGGCTAAATATAAGGCCGCATGTTCACAGGAGCGCCTGACCAGGGCGCCCCTCGCAGGGTAGCGGCAGGGCCGTCTGGGTTCACTTGAAGCGGCTGACATAAAGGGCAGAAGGCCCCCCCCCCCAGCCCGGCCCCTGGATTAGTGACGTGTGACCGGCCCGGTGGCCGGGGCCAAAGGAGGTGGAAATGCCCAAGACCCCAGGGCTGCGCAAGGATTTCCCCCACCGCGCCCCATGTCCTGTCCCTGGGGAGACCCCCACGGTCCCGGGGCGGCCCCTGCCCCACCATCAGCAGTGGGTCCTGCCGGGTCTGGGGGTGGGGCCCGGGGTTGGCCTTGGGGTCTGCCTGACGGAGGAGCTGGTCCCTCGCCAGGGGCTCCCTCGAGACAGCCTCCCCACCGGCCCAGTTAGCAAGTGCAGGGCCACCTGCCTCTGCCCCTGCCGGACCAGGCCCGGCTGTGGAGGAAGCGTCTGGCGGGGGTGGGGGTGGCTGGTCCCATGCGGAATGCGGGAGAGGAGCCCAGGGGCTCGTGCGGCCCTGCACTGGCCTCCCGGTGCCTGGTGCCTGCTGAGCAGAACGGAAGACGGGACACACAGACCACCTCCTCCCCATCCCCCTCCCCCTCCTCCACTTCCTTCCCCTCCCCCCTCCTCTTCCTCGGCATTTCCGGGGACTGCAGTTCTTGGCCTGGTTACCTCCAGCACTTAGGGACCAAAAATAAACCATCCAGGGAGCGCGGCGGGCGGGGCCCACCTGACCCCTGAGTGCAGCGGGGGCCGACCACCTGACCCCCGAGTGCCGGCCGCCCGCCCGCCCCTGCGTCTGGTGAGCAGGGCAGCTGCCCCATTAAATGAGAAATTGTCCAGCAGGTCTGGCTTGTTCCTGGCCTACACGGACGCATGCACCCCGACTCACGGTGCAGCCGTCCCAGCCGGGCGGGGAAGGGCCCCCGAGGGCGGCGGCCAGGACCCCCGCGCCCCCGCGTCGTCCCCAGCCCGCGCTCCAGCCGCCGGCGCGGACCTAGGGTTTCCTTTCTCGGGAACTGTTTGCTCTGCCTCTTTTTTTTTTTTTTTTTAAATAGGACTTTTCCGTGGAAGCAGCCTCGTGGGGGGAACGTAGGAAAAGCCGCCCGAGCCCCTGGGTGGGAGCCGGGAACAAAGGCCCGGCCGGGGCGCGGACGGGACCCGCGTCCGGAGAATGCGCAGCCCACCTGCCCGCCCGGGGCGCCCGCACCGCGAAATCAGGGCCCGGGGAAGCGCCCGGCTCCGCCACAACGGGGCCCGGTGACGTTAAACAAAACCGATGGAGGCCAGCGAGGCCGAGCCTCCTTCCCCGCGCCGCGGCTCCCCGCGCCTGCTGACCCCGAACACGGCGCCGCCTGCCCTGTGCCGGTGTCCGCTCGGCGGGGTGGGTGGGCGCTGCACCGCGGCCACCCCGGCCTGGCTCCTGCGGCCCGGCCGAGCGCAGGGCGGGCTTTCTGCAGGTGGGGCCCGGGGCTGCTGGGTGTGGGGACCTGTTGGGAGGAGCCCCTGGCCGGCTCCGCGCCCCTGCTGGGGGGCCAACACAGCGTGTCAGACCCTCGTTCTCACCCAGGGTCTGGGGGCTCGGGTCACGCCCGGGGCGGAGGTGCCCGGGCGGCCTCCAGGCGCGGCTCCTGGAGGCTGCGGCCCGTGGACGAGAGGCCGGCAGGGCTCTGACCCTCGGGCTCGGGTTCAACAACCGGCGCTCACGCGGGCTGCTGTCCGCGCCACTCCGAGGTCCGCCCCGCCCCCCTCCCCCGCCCCGCAGGCCCCCTGGGCGGGGCTGGGGGCTCCCGGGACGTCTGACCCGGTGCCTGTGATGTCAGGCTAGAGGAGCGGACACAGCTGGGGAGGCAGAGAATGGGGTCCTTGTGCCACTGTCATCGGCCCCGGGCTTCCGTGAACACGGCTTTGTCCGCACCCACACCCCGTGGTGGCCACGGGACGGGGGCCTCAGAACAAGAGCCGCTTTGGGGCCTGGGTTAACCCCTGAGTGGGTGCTGTGTGTGTGCCTGGCGCCTGGGGGCAGGCGGGGGAGGGGTGGCCTTGCTTTGGAGTCCGGGTCTGAGGCGGCTGTGTGAGCCCCACTTTTGTACCGGAATAGCGGGGGGGGGGGGGGCTGCTGGCAGACACGGTGGCCCCCACCCCATTCTGCCCCTCCCGCGCCGGGCCCAGCTGACCACACAGTCCGACCTGGTCTGGCTTCTGCTTGCACTGGGCGTCCATCGAGTTTGTCTAACCGAGGAGGTCCCCCCTACTGGGGAGACCCCAGGCCCCGAGTGGAGGAGGAGGTGAGGCTGGGGGCACGGAGGGACCCCCTCAGCCATCACGGGCGCTTCCTGGGGCGGGGACCGGGCAGGAAGGGGTCCTCGTGCACTGCCTGTGGGCAGTGGGTGGCAGCGCCTGGTCCAGACCCTCCTGCGCCCGGGGAAGACCAGCTGGGCCGGGCACAAGGGCCGGGGTCCTTGGCCGTGTTTCTGTGCTCAGAGCCCCTTCTGCAGAGCGCGCACTGTGTCATCAGATATGAGACAAAGCACCCAGGAAACACCACCCTCGCCGTGTCCCGGCCTGCAGGCAGCGGCTGTGTCGGGGGTCCTGTCCCTCCCTGCCCACGGGCCCCGCAGTGGTCTCTGATGGCCCTGGGCTGCCGCCCATGCCGTACAGACCCCTGTGGCTCCCCACGTGCCCAGGCCGTGAGTGGCTGCACCCCTGCTGCGCGGGGCACCTGGCCAAGGGAGGTGTGGGGTGCAGGGCCTCTTGCCATCCCGGCTGCCTGGCTTTGAGCCAGCCGCCTGACCCTCAGCGCTGCGGCACCCCTGCCCTGGGCTGAGCCCTGAGGACTTCAAGCGGAGGGCCTGGTGACAGCTGCGCTCCAGGGGTCACACGGGCCGAGGTGGCCTGGAGCCTCAGGCCCCTGGGGGCTGGTCACCTGCTCTCTGGACCAGTAGCAAGAGCTGGGCACTGAGAGCCCCCAGGTGCAGCAGGAAGCCCCGGCAGTCGCCGCTGGGCCACCTGGGCAGCAGGAAGCCGAGCCGCCGAGGGCCCAGCTGCCCGGCCCCAGAACCTGGAGAGAGGCGGGGTTTGGGCCCTGATGGGCAGAGCCTCCATCAGTGGCCCTGGGGACCCTGCAGAGCGCTGGGCCCTCGCAGCCCCACCCACCCCCACCTCACAGACCCCACTGCCCTGCCAGCGTGGCCCTGCAGGCTCCCGCCCCTGGAAGGCCTCTCAGGAGGGGTGCCTGGGAGAGAACAGGGTGGGGGACAGGCGGACGACCCTCTGTGAATAAAACCCAAGGTCCAGAGGTCAGAGATTTGGGGTGGAAACTCAGACCGAAGGCTGGGTCCCTGTGCCACCTGCCAGCCACGTGGGGACCGGAGGCTGGCCCTGCACCCTTCCCCCCCCACACAGCTCCTCACAGCACCCAGGCCCCAGGGACAGCTGCACAGGGGGCCCAGGCCGGGGACCTCCCCACCTCCACAGGCAAACGCTTCCCGACCCAGGAGCCACAGGGATCGAGACCAGGCTTCCTCCGCGAGCCGCCCACGTCTGGGTGGTACCCTCCGTCCCGCCTCTGCCCAGCTCTGCCCGAGACCTTGGGGCTGCCCTGCAGTGGGTTGAATGGCGCCTCCACAGCTCCGTCTACGGGGACCCCATGACTGTGACCCTCCCTGCAAAGGGAGCTCGGCAGGTGCCACCGAGGCCGTCCGTGACAAGTGTCCTCCTGAGGACAGACCCTGCAATGGGGCCACAGGCGGGAACACCCACGCCACCCGGGACGCTGACCGCCAGCTTCCCCTCCGTCCCGGCCCCTCCCCTGCCCCCTCAGATCCCGGCGTCGCCCCACGGTGTTTCCTGTCCCGGCCCGGCCAGACCAGGGTCCCAGAGGGGCTCCTTCCCAGATGTCCTCTCTGTCGCCCGCTGCTCTGCCCCAGCCCCCAGCCAGGCAAACCTGGAACCTGGGCGGACCCTGAGGGGGGCCGGGCTGCAGGACCGTGGCCGAGCTGGCCGCGTGGTGCTCTTTGTTGCCAGGTGTGCGGGGGAGGAGGTGAGGACGCACCTGCCCGCCTCACTTCTGGCCTTCCGAGGAGACCGGGAGGTTTCCAGCCCCAGAGGAGGCCAGGCCGGGGCCACATGAGGACGGAGCAGCTGCGAAGATGGCCAGGCCCAGCCGAGCAGGACAGCGAGGGGCAGGGGAGGCGACAGCCTTGGAGCCGGCAGAGGCAGCCCCGCAGGCCTGGGGTGTGGAGTCCGGGGGCTCGGTGTCTTGTCCCTGGGAGACTGGCCACCCCAGGGGTCAGGGCCGGGTGGCAGGTGGGAGGGTTCCTCTGCCCTGGGGACGCGCGGTGCTGGGCTGAGGTCCTTGCCCACCTTTCCTGCTGCTGTCCCCCACCCTGGCCCCAGCTTCCTTTCTATAGCTCGGGCTGCAGGAGTCCAGCTGGGGCCTGGCGGGGAGGGCGGGGGATGCTGGGCAGCCACGGGAGCAGAAAGCCGAGACCTCCCTGGGTGACCGGTGAGGCCGCGGCCGTCAGATGCTGCGAGACGGGGAGATACAGACGGGCACCAGGCCTGTGGCTAGGCCCTATCCAGGGCCCCCTGGAGCGCCCCGGCCAGCCCCTGGGGTCCCCTGTCTTGACACCTGCCGGCACGTTCTGCAAGGGGGAAGCGGGGAGCCCCTGGTTCGAAGACTGCGAAGGATTTAAGGGCCGGACTCGGGCACTGCGGGTGTGTGTGCGCATCCGTGTGCACACGTATGTTCTCCCAAGCACCTGCTCTGCCCGCGGGCTCCCCTCAGCTCGGGTCTCGGGGCGTTGCCTTCTCAGTTAAGGTGCCAACACCTGTGCCGTGCACCGCGCCGGGAGCTGTGTGATCCAGCCGCGCAGGTCCCCCCGCCCGCCCCGCGCCCTTCCTGTCTTCCTCCTGATTTTTATTTATTTATAACAAATAAAGAGAGAGACGCAGCTTCTCCACTGGCTCACTCCTGAGACGCCTGCCGCAGCCAGGGCGGAGCTGCAGCCGGCAACGCAGGGCGGGTTTTCACCGCGGGCGGCGGCCAGGGCTGCCTTAGCAGAGAGCTGGAGTCGGAGCCAGTGATCTGATAACGCCCACCCGCGGCGTTCCTGCCCGACCAGGGCCCCCTGTTCCTCCTCTCTGGCCTGGGGCTCCCCCTGAGCTGGCTCCGGGCTGCGGCCTGCACCAGCCATGCCCCGGAGGAACAAACCGCACTCGCAGTGCAAGACGTCCGTGCACGCCGGGGCTGAGCGGGGAGAGGGCTTTGCGCACACGTGAAGGGTCTCAAGGGGAGCCCACCCTGATGCCAATGGCAGCTCCAGGCCGATGTGGGACAAGTGGGAGTCAGACCTGGCCAGCCGGGGGACAGCACGGAGCGGGAGTCAGACCTGGCCAGCCGGGGGACAGCACGGAGCGGGAGTCAGACCCGGCCAGGGGGCAGCAAGGCCCGCCACCACCGCCCCGGAAGCTGGGAGGGGTCGTGGGAAGCACTGCCTCTCTGAGTTCCCACGAGGAAGCAGCCAACACCTTGGTTCCGACTGGGGCCTGCACGGCTGTGGGAGAAGCCGTTGCTGTGCGGCCTGGGCTGGAAAGGGCACAGCCGGGCGCGCTCACTCCGTCCAGCGGCCCGAGTGCCCGCCTGTCGCGCGCATTGCATGGGGCTTCAGGAGGCTCACGGTGGGGTGGAGCTGAAGGTCAAACTTGGGGGTGGGCGTTTAGCCTAGTGGTTTGCGTGCCTGTGTTGCCTGGAGTGCTTGGGTGGGATACCCGGCCACTGCCTCCCTGGGCGCGTCAGTGGGGAGCTGGATTGGAAATGGAGCGGCCGCCACCGGCCCAAGGCTGTCCAGTTGGCCACCCCACGTCTCTCAGGGCGCTGCCTGTTCTCGCGTGGTGTGGATTTGGGGGTGTCCCCCCCCAGGGAGGCCACAGGTGCAGGACAGGGCCCGGTCAGCTGCAGCAGACGCCCCTGCTGACCCCCACGCCTGGAAGGGCCTCCCCTGCTTTATTCTGGAAGCTCGGGGGTTTATTTTTCAGATTCTGGTCCGCGATCCATTCTTGATTATTTTTTACATGTGGCGTGATGGAGGGCCGAGGGCCCGTTTGTCTCTGTCGACGTCTGACCGACGCAGCCCGCGCCGTGGGGCCTTTGTTATAAATCAGGCCTGGGGGAGGGGTGGTCGCCGGCCTGCTCGCCTCTCCATTGGTCTGTTTGGCTCTTCACCTGCCAATCATCGCGGCCTCTGCTCGCTGCTCAGAGGGGGCTTGGGCTGGGGCTGCGGCGCCGCCGGCCCCCCGCGTCCGCTTTGGCTTCTCTCTGCCGGGGGTGACCTTCCCTCCTCCACACGGTCTGCCCAGCAGAGCTGCCCCAGCTGACCTCCAAGGGCAGTAGGTGGCCCAGGGCCCCGAGACGAGGCCGCAGCTCCCAGGAAAGGGGGGACCCACAGGCCGGCGCCCCACCCCCACTCACCAGCCCTGCGCACCCCACCCTCGAGTCATGGCACAGGTGTCTGGGGCGCAGTGTGGGGGCAGGGAGTGGAGCCAGGCGCTGAGTGGGGACAGAGACAAGCCAGGAACCCCACAGGGACGTGTCGGTCACACAGCACATGTGAGGCGCTGGGGGGCACCACCCTTTTTTATATATATATATATTTATTTTATTTATTTGAGAGAGGTAGAGCCAGAGAGAGGACTTCCATCCGCTGGGTCACTCCCCAGATGGCCACGATGGCCTGAGCTGCGCTGATCTGAAGCCCGGAGCCAGGAGCGTCTTCTCGGGCTCCCCGTGGGACACGCCCTTCTAAAGGGGAAGCAGGGTGCCCCTGGAGGCCGAGGGGCTGGGGGCTCTCAGTGGGGACAGGAAGGGCTGGGTGGGCGGCTCGATTCCGGAGGTCCCTCGGGCTCTGGGACTGTGGCAGTGAGGCCAGTGGGAGCTTTGGCCACAGGGGGTAGAGTGGGCTCTGTGTGAATTCTTTTTGTAAAAAAGTTTCTTTTCTTTTTTCTTTTTTTTTTTAATTTTTTGACATGCAGAGTGGACAGTGAGAGAGAGAGACAGAGAGAAAGGTCTTCCTTTTGCCGTTGGTTCACCCTCCAATGGCCACCGCGGTTGTTGCGCTGCGGCCGGCGCACCGTGCTGATCCGATGGCAGGAGCCAGGTGCTTATTCTGGTCTCCCATGGGGTGCAGGGCCCAAGGACCTGGGCCATCCTCCACTGCACTCCCTGGCCACAGCAGAGAGCTGGCCTGGAAGGGGGCAACCGGGACAGAATCTGGCACCCCAACCGGGACTAGAACCCAGTGTGCTGGCGTCGCAAGGCGGAGGATTAGCCTAGTGAGCCGCGGCACCGGCCAAAAAGTTTATTTTCAATTCATTTGAACGAGCGAGAGATCCATCTTCCACCCGCTGGTTCACCCCCCTAATGCTCACAGCAGCTGGGCCAGGCCAAAGCCAGGAGCCAGGAGCCCCGTCAGGGTCTCCCAGGCGGGTGACCCCGCGGCCCTCCCAGCCGGCCTGGAAGCGGAGCCAGGACCTGAACCGTTGCTCGGAGGTGGAACGCACCTTTCGATTCCACTTTTCCGTGAACTTTCTGAAGCCCCTCGCGGGTGTCGGGTGCCGGCTCGGTGGCGTTAAGCACCTTTGCACGGTGCAGCTGGCGCATCTCAGCGTCATCACCGTGTCACCCTCACGGGGACCCAGGGCCACCGTGCCCCAGGCTGATGTCCCCCCAACTCGGTGCTGTGTGCACAGACCCTGCTTCCAAGGCAGGTGCATTACGGGGTCAGGACCGGGGCTGAGTCCGGCTGTGGGGAGCCACAGACGCCCCAAGTGCAGGGTGGGAAGGCTCCCTGGCCCCGCCCCCGTGGGCATTCCTGGGGTTCGCTGTGAAGGTCTGAGCCGGGGGGCAGCAGGAGGAAGGTGCCTGGGTGTCCGCTGCACCTGTACCAGGTGGACTTGCATCCCAGGAGCCAAGAGGCCGAGAGTGGAGGTGCTGTGGCTTCCTGGGTGTCCAGAGCGAGGAGAGAACACAGCTCCCACCTGCAGGCGCGAGGGCCGTGGGGGGGCTCAGGGCAGCATCAGCCAGGGCCCGCCCCCCAGAGCCCCGCCCCCCAGAGCCCCGCCCCCTCCCGCAGTCCACCCTGCGCCGGGCGACTTCTGCATGGCTGGGGGAGGAGATGGGCACTGAGACACAGGTGGGGTTCAGGGGGCCAGGGGAGTAGGGGACCCCCAGGTCCGTGAGCCCCTGCGTATGGGGAACTGAGCCCTGGGTGCAGGCCGGCAACTTTTCTCAGGGGCCCCGGCAGGGAGGGCTGGGGGCCTGAGAGGCTGGGGACCAGCACCGCTAGCCTCCAGTCTGCCCCCTTTGGGGGCCCCAGGACCCCCTGGATTTTATTTATTTGAGTGTGGGGGGGGGAGAGGTCATCCACTCCCCAAGTGACTGCAAAGGCCAGAGCTGGGCTAGAAGCCGGGCCAGGAATTCCTCCCCGAGGTGGGTGCAGGGCCCGGCACCTGTGGATCCTCGGCTGCTCTCCAGGCGCACGAGCGCGGAGCCGGATCGGACGGAAGTGGCGCTGCCGGGCCGGGACCCAGCGCCCGACGGGATGCCGGTGTCGCAGGCGGAAGCTTAGCCTGCTTCGCCACAGCGCGATGTCCTAGAGACAGGAGAGGGAGATGTGGGACTCAGTCCACGGGAGGAGCCAGAGCTGGAGCCAGGCGGCCACAGACGGCGATGCCCGGGCCTCGGACGCAGCGTAAATATTTGTTGCTTGAAGCCACCGCGGCCCTGGGACACCGGAGCAGGAGAGGCTGCAGCGTGGACGACGTCCAGGCCCCGGCCGCCCCGGGACAGGGCCGCAGCCGCAGCCGCAGCGCGCAAGTCCCCGCCACGGAGCCCGACTCCCGCCGCAGGGGCCGCACACGCACCCCTACCGTGTCTGCCCCGTGGGGCTCCCCAGCGGGGCGTCGCTTTCGCAGGAACTGGCGGGGAACACCCTTCCCGCCCCCGCCTGGACCCCCGCCTGGACCCCGGCCAAGAGGACCTGGGGAAGCGGCTCCCGGGTGCGGGGCGGGGCCCTGCCGAGGGGCGGGCCCTGCTGCTCCAGGGCATTTGATGGACGTGCAATTAACCTGCCTGCGGTTATGTTGGCAGCAGAACTGGAACAGGAAGTGAGCGAGTAAACCCGGGCCTTTCAAGTGATGACAAATTCATCAAACAAATGGACCGGGCGCGCAGAGGGCGGCGTGCTCCCAGCCTCCGCGTGGGCCGGAGCCCCGCCGGGCAGATGCCGGCAGGTGGCCGCAGCTCCTGGGTGGGTCCACGGCCCCTGCCTCAGTTTCCCCGGCTCTCTCGTGAGAACCACCTCCGTGAGCAGCTCAGTCATCATGATTTTAAAAATAATCGACCGTGTTTATTTCAGAGGGAAAAGGCAGAGGTCTCATTCACATCCAGTATTCGTTTCCCCCAAAGCCCGCGACGGCTGGGGCTGGGCCAGGCCGAAGCCAGGAGCCAGGAGCTCCTCCCGGGTCTCCCCGTGGGGGGCGGGGCCCTGACACCTGCCCCCACTGCTGCCCCCCGGCTGGGCTCAGGGCAGGGCTGGGGCTTGAGCCCAGGCGGACAGGGGACGCCGGCGCCTCCCCCCGGGGCCTCGCGCCAGCCCTGATTTCTTCCTTGGTGTCCGCTGAAACCTGACGGGACCCTGGCCGGCCCCGGCGCAGGCCGAGTTCTGGAAGCCGCCTGGGTGCCTGCGGGCTGGGGTGTCCGAGGTCTGGGGGTCACGGGGCCAACAGCAGCCTCCAAGCCGTGTGCAGGCAGTGGGAGCCCGACCTGGTGGGGCCCCGGCTCTGCGGCAGGCTCTCGCCCCGGACAGTGCCAACACTGGGAGGCCTATGACCCCCTCCGCCAGCTGCTGCCCGTGCTCCCCCAGCCCGGAAGTGCTGCTCTGGCCTGCTGGGTCCAGACCC